TCTATGTAACCCTATGGGTCTCTGTGGGTGTCCTGGTCTCTATGAAACCCTATGGGTCTCTGTGGGTGTCCTGGTCTCTATGAAACCCTATGGGTCTCTGTGGGTGTCCTGGTCTCTATTGAACCCTATGGGTCTCTGTGGGTCTCCTGGTCTCTATGAAACCCTATAGGTGTCTGTGGGTATCCTGTTCTCTATGTAACTCTATGGGTCTCTGTGGGTCTTTGTGTATCGATGTAACCCTATGGGTCTCTGTGGGTCTCTGTGTATCTCTGTGAGCCTATGGGTCTCTGTGGATCTCTGTATCTTTGTAACCCTTTGGGTCTCTGTGGTTCTCTGTGAGTCTCTGTGACCCTATGGGTCTCTGTGGGTCTCTGTGTCTCTCTGTGACCCTATATGTCTCTGTGGGTCTCTGTGTCTCCATGTAACCCTATGTGTCTCTGTGGGTCTCTGTGTCTCTATGTAGCCCTATGGGTCTCTGTAGGTCTCTGTGTCTCTATGTAACCGTATGGGTCTCCTTGGGTATCTGTGTATCCAAATAGGTCTCTATTGTTGTCTGTGTGTCTCTGTGTATCTATGTATCCCTATGGGTCTCTGTGGATCTCTGTGTGTCTCTGTTTATCCAAATGTTTCTCGATGGGTCTCTGTTGGTCTCTGTATCCCCATGCAACTCTATGGGTCTCTATCGATCTCTGTCTCTCTCTGTATCCTGTTTGGTCTCTATAGGTGTATGTGTGTCTCTGTGTCTCTATGTATGCCCAATGGTCTCTGTGGGTCTCTGTGTCTCTATGTGACCCTATGGGTTTCTGTGTCTCTATATATCTCTCTGGGTCTCTGTGGATCTCTCTGTGTCTCTGTGTATCCAAATGTGTCTCTCTCTGTAACCCTATGGGTCTATGTGGGTATCTGTGTATCTATGCATCTCTATAGGTCTCTGTGGTTCTCTGTGTGTCTCTGTGTATCCAAATGTGCCTCTATTGGTCTCTCTACGTCTCTGTGTCTCTATGTAACCCTATGGGTCTCTGTGGGTCTCTGTGTCTCTATGTATCTCTATAGGTCTCTGTGGTTCTCTGTGTGTCTCTGTGTATCCAAGTGTGTCTCTATTGGTCTCTATACGTCTCTGTGTCTCTATGTAACCCTATGGGTCTCTGTGGGTCTCTGTGTCTCTATGTATCTCTATAGGTCTCTGTGGTTCTCTGTGTGTCTCTGTGTCCAAATGTGTCTCTATTGGTCTCTCTACGTCTCTGTCTCTATGTAACCCTATGGGTCTCTGTGGGTCTCTGTGTCTCTATGTATCTCTATAGGTCTCTGTGGCTTTCTGTGTTTCTTTGTGTATCCGAATGTGTCTCTATTGGTCTCTCTACGTCTCTGTGTCTCTATGTATCCCTATGGGTCTCTGTGGGTCTCTGTGTCTCTATGTATCTCTATAGGTCTCTGTGGTTCTCTGTGTGTCTCTGTGTATCCAAATGTGTCTCTATTGGTCTCTCTACGTCTCTGTTTCTCTATGTAACCCTATGGGTCTTTATGGGTCTCTGTTTCTCTATGTAAATCTATGAGTCTCTGTAGGAATCTGTCTATGTATGTATCTGCATGGCTCTCTGTGGGTCTCTCTGTTACTAGGTCCCTCTCTGGATCTCTATGGATCTCTGTATCTACGTATCACTATGGTTCTCTTTGGGTCTCTGTGTCTCTGAGTATCCATATGGGTCTCCATGGGTCTCTGTAGGTCTCTCTGTCTCTCTATAACTCTATGGGTCTTTGTGGGTAATCTGTGTCTGTATGCAACCATATGGGTCTCTGTGGGTATCTGTGTCTCTGTCTATCCATATAGATCTATATGGGTACCTCTGTTTTTGTGTGTCTCTACGGGTCTATATGATTGTCTATGGTTCTCTGCTCACGTCTGTGCATCTCTTGGTGTTTAAAGCTATCTTCACGCGTTCATGTGTCTCTCTGTGTGTGTGTGTGTGATTCTACGGGTCTTTGGGTCTCTGTGTGAGTCTATAGGTCTCTGTGTGAATCTTGTACTCTCTTTGTGAGTCTCTTGGTCTCTGTGCGAGTCGCCGGGTCTCATGCGTCGTGAGGCTTTGGCTCGGTTCACCCAGCCGTTGACATTCGACGCTTTGCACAGATGGATTCAAGAAAGCACTCCTGTTCAACGTAGCGATGCGTCCAGTTTGTGCGCCCGCACTTGGGAGTGGCGACATCGCGGTGAGCGTGCTGCCACTCCGATCCTACCCGTGACCCGAGTTCGATTCCCTCCCACGGCCAGAACCTCCAGTGACGAATTTCCCAGCCGGTCCTGGGCCGCCCCTAGGTAGACTCAGCCACAAAGATGAGTGGCTGGTGCCACCGTTCCGGTCTTCGTAGGTGCTACCCGCGAACAGCACTTGCCCCAACAATCTGCTTAAGGCTACGCGGGGAAGCTTTGTCTCTATCTGTGTGTGTGTGTGTCCGAACACGTGGCAGGACCAGGGTTAGATTCAGTCTAACGGGCCAAATAAACCGGTGACGGTGATGATCTTAACCGGTCCAGGGCCCTCCCCTAGGTCGACTCGGCCTCAAATTACTACCTGGTTGCGGTGTGTAGTAAACATCGTCACTGGGGAGACAAATGCGGTCGGGCGTGGTTCTGTCCACCCACCCGCTCGTGTGCCCTTCAGGCCATCGTAGGTGCTCGCTAACAGCACTTGCCCCAACAGTCTGTTGAGGCTACAGGGGGGATCTTCGTCTTTGTGTATCAGTGTTTTCTCTGTATCTTGGCTCGATGTACCCACGTGTGTCTCTGTGTGTATCTTGCTACGTATCTTTTGTGTATGTCTGTGTGTATCGGTGTGTGGTTGTAGTCGGCTTCCATGACCAATATCATCCATAACAGAGGTCTTATGGGTTAGATGGAGTAAAGTCGTTGGGTCTCTTTATGGGTTTATGGGTCTCTGTGTGAGTCTACGGGTTTTTGTGTGAGTTTATGGGACTCGTTGTGAGTCTATGAGTCTCTGTGTGAGTCTATGGGTCTCTGTGTGAGTCTATGGGTCTAAGTGTGAGTCTACGGGTTTCTGTGTGAGTCTATGGGTCTCTGTGTGAGTCTACGGGTTTTTGTGTGAGTCTATGGGTCTCTGTGTGAGTCTACTGGTCTCTGTGTGAGTCCATGGGCCTCTGTGTGAGGCTATGGGTCTCTGTGTGAGTCTACGGGTCTCTGAGTGAGTCTATGGGTCTCTGTGTGAGTCTATGGGTCTCTGTGTGAGTCTACGGATCTTTGTGTGAGTCTACGGGTCTCTGTGTGAGTCTACGGGTATATTTATGAGTCTATGGGTCTCTATGTGAGTCTCTGGGTCTTTGTTTTAGTCTATGGGCTCTGTGTGAGTCTACGGGTCTCTGTGTGAGTTTATGGGTCTCTGTGTGAGTCTATGGTTCTCTGTGTGAGTCTACGGGTCTCTGTGTGAGTCTTTGGGTCTATGTGTGAGTCGAAATATGAAACGACCACCTACAGTAGCGGTGTGTCGAAAACGTCGCCACTGGGGAGACAAAGGCGGCCGGGCGCTGGTGGTACCATCCACGCCACCAGTGCCGGTAGCCTTCCTTATGGTGCAGTGCTGAGTCTGTGGTGCAGTGTTGAGTCTATGGTGCAGTGTTGAGTCTATGGTGGAGTGTTGAGTCTATGGTGCAGTGTTGAGTCTATGGTGCAGTGTTGAGTCTATGGTGCAGTGTTGAGTCTATCGTGCAGTGTTGAGTCTATGGTGCAGTGTTGAGTCTATGGTGCAGTGTTGAGTCTATGGTGCAGTGTTGAGTCTATGGTGCAGTGCTGAGTCTATGGTGCAGTGTTGAGTCTATGGTGCAGTGTTGAGTCTATGGGCAGTGTTGAGTCTATGGTGCAGTGTTGAGTCTATGGTGCAGCGTTGAGTCTATGGTGCAGTGTTGAGTCTATGGTGCAGTGTTGAGTCTATGGTGCAGTGTTGAGTCTATGGTGCAGTGTTGAGTCTATGGTGCAGTGCTGAGTCTATGGTGCAGTGTTGAGTCTATGGTGCAGTGTTGAGTCTATGGGCAGTGTTGAGTCTATGGTGCAGTGTTGAGTCTATGGTGCAGTGTTGAGTCTATGGTGCAGTGTTGAGTCTATGGTGCAGTGTTGAGTCTATGGGCAGTGTTGAGTCTATGGGCAGTGTTGAGTCTATGGTGCAGTGTTGAGTCTATGGTGCAGTGTTGAGTCTATGGTGCAGTGTTGAGTCTATGGGCAGTGTTGAGTCTATGGTGCAGGTTCAGTCTATGGTGCAGTGTTCAGTCTATGGTGCAGTGTTGAGTCTATGGGGCAGTGTTGAGTCTATGGGCAGTGTTGAGTCTATGGTGCAGTGTTGAGTCTATGGTGAAGTGCTGAGTCTATGGTTGCTGTTGCTCGCTACCAACAGCACTTGCCCCGACAGTCTGTTGAGGCTACACGGCGGGGAGGGTGGGGGTCCCTTTGTCTTCATGTGTCTGTGTGTGGCTCAGCCTTTGTAGATGATGCGTGTGTCTGTGTGTCTCCGCGTCTGTATCTCCACGTGTCTCTGTATGCAAAGTTCCTCTGCCTCTGTTTCTCTCTCTCTCTCTGTGTCTGTGTGCGCGTGTCTCTCTCTCCCTCCCCACCATTTCTCTGCCGCTCTTCCTCCTCCTCCCCCTCCCTCCTCCACCCCCTCCTCCTCCCTCTCCCTCCCTCCTCCCTCCTCCTCCCTCCTCTCCTGTTCCCTTCCCCCTCCTCCCCCTTCCCTCCCCCCTCCATCCTCCCCCCTCCCTCCTCCTCCCTCCCCCCTCCCTCCCCTTCCTCCTTTTCCCCCTCCTCCTCCCCCCCACCTCCTCCTCCCTCCCTCATCCTCATCTCCCCCTTCCCTCCCCCCTCCTCCTTGTCTCCCTCCTCTCCCCCCTCGCTCCTCTTCACCCCTCCCTCTTCTCCTCTTCCTCCTCTTCTCCCACCCCCTCCATCTCCCCCACTCCCCCGCACCACGTGGCACCACCCCCCTGCCCCCCCCCCCCAGACATCCGTGACGAGGGCCCCCGTCCCGTGATGATGTACATCCACGGAGGCTCCTACATGGAGGGCACGGGGAATTTGTTCGACGGGAGCGTCCTCGCCAGCTACGGCAACGTCATCGTCGTCACCCTCAACTACCGCCTCGGAGTGCTCGGTGAGGGAACGTGGAGTTTCCGCTCCCACGGCACCCCCCCCCCCCCCCCACCACCACCACCTACTCTAATCCCACCACCACCACCACCACCTACTCTAATCCCACCACCACCACCTACTCTAATCCCACTACCACCACCACCACCTACTCTAATCCCACCACCACCACCACCTACTCTAATCCCACCACCACCACCTCATGTGTTCCCACCACATCCACTTATACCACCACCATCACCTCCTCTGAGTCCACCACCACCACTTTCTTTCTCTGTTACCACCACCACTGATTACACCACCACCACCACTACCACCACTGATTACACCACCACCACTATCACTGATTACACCACCACCACCTCCACTGATTACACCACCACCACCACCACCACCTCCTTTCTCTGTTACCACTACCCACCCCCCCCAACCCCCACCGCTCCCACTCCTCTTCCACCTCCCTCCTTTACCGCGCCATCCCCCAAAGGCTTCCTGAGCATGAACGATCCGGCGGCGAAAGGCAACTACGGCCTCCTCGATCAGATCCAGGCATTGCGCTGGATCAGCGAGAACATCATCCACTTTGGGGGGGACCCCCTCCGGGTGACAGTGTTTGGCTCTGGAGCGGGCGCGTCTTGCGTCAACCTGTTGACGCTATCGCACCATTCTGAAGGTAACAGGTGGAGCAATTCTTCAAAAGGTACAAAGAGCTCACCCACCTCATGTTCATTAACTCAAACAAAAACAAAAACAAAAAAAAAAACGGACGGAAAGAAATTACGCGGATAAAAGCATTCGCGCGAACGATTCGATGGCCGAAATTTTCGGATTTGGAAAGCAAACCAAAAATTAAAACCGTGATATAATTCGTCAAATTAAAAGTTCGCGACCCAAAAAAAAAAAATAATAATAATAATAATTCCCAAATCGGCCAGATTTGCAATCGCCCAACAGACGAAATAATGAACCAAAAAAATTCGTTGATAAAAAAAAATCGAAAAACAAAATCACGCGATCCGTCAATGACGACGTCGATTTTATACTCGCGGGAATTTTCCGTCGCGCCAAAAGAAAAATTAAAGAGAAACCCCCCCACCTACCCACCCCCCCAAACCACCCACCCACCCCCCCAAACCACCCACCCTCCCCCCCTGCCCATTGCCCGAGGTCATTACGAACCAGAGAGCGAACTAAAATTAAAATGAAACGAAAAGGACAACAACACATTTCAGGCTGTGAATTTGACGTTAAACGGAAGCGAAACGAACAAACGATGAACAAACCGAGGCAGTTCACCGCGCACCTCGCCCCCACCCCCACCCGCCCACACCGCGTCGATTTACTGGACCAGATGCCGCCCCCATCCCTACCCCCCCCGCCCCCCCCCAGAAATAATTTGACCATCGAAAATCCACGTGACCCCCGTTCACCTGACCGTGACATCTGAACTACATACGTCCACGTGACCCCGTTCACCTGACTGTGACGTCTAAAACTCCGTACGTCCACGTGACCCCGTTCACCTGACAGTGACCTCTGAACTCCGATCGTCCACATGACCCCCGTTCACCTGACAGTGTCCTCTGAACTCCGTACGTCCACGTGACCCTCGTTCACCTGACAGTGACCTCTGAACTCCGATTGTCCACGTGACTCCGTTCACCTGACCATGAAATCTGAACTACGTACGTCCACGTGACCCAGTTCACCTAACCGTGACCTCTGAACTACGTACGTCCACGTGACCCCCGTTCACCTGACAGTGACCTCTGAACTCCGTACGTCCACGTGACCCTCGTTCACCTGACAGTGACCTCTGAACTCTATATGTCTACATAACCCGTTCACCTGACCCTGAAATCTGAACTCCGATCGTCCACGTGACCCCGTTCACCTGACAGTGACCTCTGAACTCTATACGTCTACATAACCCCGTTCACCTGACCCTGAAATCTGAACTCCGATTGTCCACCGTGACCCCCGTTCACCTGACAGTGACCTCTGAAGTCCGATTGTCCACCGTGACCCCCGTTCACCTGATCGATGAGACCACAATATTTTTGACAATTTTGGTGTCTGCATGCTACAAACAAACTACAACAACAACAACAACCATCATGGACCCCCTCCTCCCTCCCCCCTCCCTCCCCCACCCCACCCCACCCCCCCCCCCCTTTTAATTTAACTTTTCTAATTTTAACGACCTGCAATGCCCCCTACCCGCCCTGCCCCCCCCCTCTATTAGCCAGCACCCCCCTACCCCCCACTCCCCACACCCTACCCCCCCACCCCCCCCACCACCCCCACCCCCACCCCCCCCCTTCCCCCGCTTCCACCATTCACAACGCAGTTATGGATGGACGGAGAGCCCCCCACAATAATTATTGAATCGGAAAGTCTTCCCCCATCCTCCCTCCCCCCACCCCCTCTGGATTTTATAGAGAAGGGGGGGGGGGGGGAGGAGAGAGAGAGGGGGTAGGGAGGGGATGAGGGGAGGGGATAGCAGCGGGGGGAGGGCGGGGTCATCGGTTAATTATTTATTTTTATTTTTAACCGCCCCACTCCGAACCAAGCACCGCCCCCTCTGTTAATATCAACGCCCCCCCCCCAACCCCCGCACCCCCCCCCCTCCCCCACCCCCCACCAGCCGCCCCCTCCGCCTTCCCACGTAAACCGCCGCCAGCCGCTGCTTCAGAATCGTAGAACGTGGAGATTTTGTGCCACAGGTTAGAAATCCCGACGAGCTGCAGAACCCCCGTCCCGGTGCCCGGCCCGGCCGCCCCGGTTAAGCGCGTTCGGTAGTGCGGGGGGCTCCGCCAGAACTCGCCAGAACTCGCCAGAACCGCCGCGGTCGAATTATTTTTGCGGTCCCTCAACGAGCCGCCGGATAGCGGGGGAGGTCGGTCTTGCGGCGGATCTGTCTCGGAGGTTTGAGCCGCGCGAAGAGATGGCCTTCTCTGTCGCCTCCGTGTCTAACGGTCGGCTCCATTGGAGGTGTCGGGATTGCTCGCATGGGTTTTGGGCTGATTCTCTTCATTGTTGCGGGAAGGAAGGACCGTTCACCGGCGATTTAGGTAATCCGGGATTGCTGTTGTTAGTTAGTTTTCTATTTATTTAGGCCTGTTGTGTTCAAATTGCTTTTGGCGCGAATTAATTTTTTTTAAATCGAGAAATTTTATTTTTTGCGTTTGTTTTGCATCCTCCATCCAGTGTGCAGTTTTTTTTTAATTCGTTTTCATCGATTCCTGACCAACATTATTTTTAAGTTCCCAACCCTCTAGCTTTCATAGCTATCTTAGAAATTCATAGATATCCTAGCATTCATATCACATTATTCATATATACAGTAGCATCCATAGATATCCGAGTATTCATATCCCAGTATTCCTAGATATCCTAGCGTTCACATCCTAGCATTCGTATCCGTTCATTCGTTTCTCAATCCGCTTGTCCTGGTGAGGGTCGCGGTGGCAGTGTGTTGAGTGGTGGCGGTCCGGACCTCCCTTTCCTGGCAATGCTATCTCGCTCCACCTGGGGAATTCTCAGGCGTTTCCAGGCCAGCCGAGCGACATAGTCTCAACCGGCGTGTCCTTTGGCCGGCCCCGGGGTCTTCGCCCAGCGGGACCGTTGCTGCTGCCCCGGTAAAATTCCAGGGGGAGTCTACCGGGGGGCATCCTTATCGGGTGCCCGAACCACCTCAACTGGCTCCTATTGATCTGGAGGAGCAGCGGCTGAACTCCGAGGCTAACGGGATAACCGAGTTCCTCAACCGATCACGGAGAGTGAGCCGGGCAACGCTGTGGAGAGACCTAATTTTGACCGCTTGTTCCCGGGATGTCAACCTCTCGGTCGTTACCTACAGCTCGTGACCACCACAGGCGAAGGGTGGAAACACAGATCGACCTGTAAACCGCGAGCTTCGTGCGAGAACTCAGCTCCCGCTTCGCTACCACGCAACGGTGCGGCGCCCGCAACACCGCAAATGCCACGCCGGTCCGTCGGCCGATCTCCCGCTCCCGCTCAGCCATCGCTCGCGAAAGAGACACCGAGGAAACTTAGACTCGTCCAACTAAGGGGCGGCTGTTCCCCCCTCACCTGGAGAGGGCAATCCACCGTCTCTCGGCAGTGAACCGTGGATCGCAGATTTGGAGGTGCTCATCCTCGTTTCAGCCGCTTCGTGCTCGGCATCAAACCGTTCGGGTGCCCGCCAGGAGTTCGCGAACCGACGAGGCCAAGGAGGACGGGAGTCGTCCGCAGAAAGCAGCGGCGCCGCATCCACACCCCACTGCCGGAAACTCTCCACGCCCTGGGTGGCCGCGCCTTGATATCGCTGTCCACGAAGCGAACGAACAGGAGCGGGGACGCGGTGCGACCCCCCCCCTTGGCGGAGTCCAACACCCACGGTGGGCGGTGTTGATTTCGCGACAAGAATGCGGACCGCAGCTCTCCGTGCGGGAACAGAGGGGCCGGAGAGCGAACACAAAAGCGGCGAACCGGCACATCAGACCCTCGCAGCACGTCCCGCACAGGGCAGAAGACGGTCATCGTGCCTTCCCCAAGTCTGCCAAGCAAGAAGTAGACTTGGAGAAGCGTGACTCCCGTGAACCCCCCTCCCCCTCCTCCCCAGATATCTGTGAGAGGGGGAAAGAGCTGGTCCGTTGTTCCACGATCCCGACGGCAATCCGTCATTGCTCCTCCTCGATCTGAGTCTCGAGCACCAGGCACGGCAGCCTCCCCTCGAGCGCTCAGGCACAGGCTTGGCGTGCTACGCTGAGCGGCGTGGGTCGCTCTGCGGTTGGAGCTCACCCTCCAGTGTCCTTCCCTTAAAATGAGGGACCACGACCGCCAGTTTGCCAGTCCGGAGGTACGGTACCCGGGGGTGTGTCCGTGCAACATTGAAGGGGCGCGTTAGCCACGACACTCCGCGTTCAACAACTCTGGTTGCGAATCCTCGTCCACCCCAGCGGCGTCGCCGCTACGAAGGCCCTCGACCGCCACAGCTTCTTCGGCAGCCGCGATGGATCCGACCCCCCCCCCCCCCCCCCAGCTGTTTCCAGGGCTGCCTCCTGACAGGAGGCCATGTCCGCCGTTGTTGCCGAGCACCTCAAAGTGTTCCTGCCACCGCTCGACTACCTCCTTAGTTGAGGTCAACGTTACGCCGCCGCCCTTACTGAGAACATCCGGGGCCACGTCCTGTCGACCCCACCTAAGGCGTCAGATGCGTTGCCGGAACATATTTGAGACTCCATCATTAGACCTCCTTTGCCAGTACCAAAATGTAATAATAGGGTGGTTTTTCCCCTTTTTCTGGCAACAAAACTGAAACCTTTTTTTTTTACAAGGATTCATGTTTACTGCATCAACCACTATACCTGCAGTCAAAATGCAAACAAAAAACACACATACTATGATAATATATGATGATGAATTGTCCTTGAAACTGATTGGTCCACACCAAGGGACGGCTTTCTTTTGAGCCTCCACCAAATTGGTGCTCGACCAGATGACGCCAAAAGGCGTTCACACAGCTCAAAGACAATGCCACCATTATCATATTTGAGACCGCCCCGGCAGTCCCCGCCCACGGCCTCTCCAAACTCTTCCCACGCCCCCGGGGCCTTCGCTTCAGCGACCGCTGCCGCTGCCGCCCTCTTGGCGAGCTGGTACCTCTCAAGCGTAGTTCGGAAAGCCGCCTCCTCCTCCTCCTCCTCCTACTTGACAGCTATCCCTCAACACTGCCGTCCACCAGCGTGTCCTAGGTTCGCCGCCATGACAGGAGCCAACCGCGCGCAGGCCGCGGGCTGCTCACAGCCGCATCGACAATCGAGGCGCTGAACAACGTCCACTCAGGCTCAATGTCCACGACGTCCCCTGGAGTGCCGGAGAAGCCTTCCCGGGTGTCGAAGCTGACGTCTTTCTGCGCCGGGTCTTCGTGCCAGACGTTGCCGTGAGAAGCAACACGATTCGTTTTGTCCTTTCACGTCAATCTGGTCGGTGCCCCCAAGCGTCGGATCCAACTTACCACCACCTAGTGGTGGTAAGTGGTGATCACTTGACAGCTCTGCGCCTCTCTTCACCCGAGTGTCCGGAACATACGGACTTAGGTGCGATGATACA